TTTTTAATCCCCAGCACTCAATACATATCTATTTAATGAATGAAGGAATACATCAGCATTTCCCTATTTTATGTGATCCTAAGACCCTGCGTTGGTATACTGACTCTTACTATCCTACTGAAAATCTCTGGGAAATCTGCCTATTCTGAAATAAATTTAAAATAAATGGCAAGAAGTTTAAGTTCTGATGCAAGTGGGGCTTAAGCAGGTGGGCCTTTTTGATCATTTTTCAAATCCCCTTTTAGATGTAGCTGTTCATGGTGGAAGGAACTGTCTGGTGTGGTGTCCATGTGTCTAAGTGGCTCTAATACCTGCTATAGTAAAATCATACCCAAGTTTGTAAGGGCTAATTTTAGTCCATGGAGGATTTTTAATCTAATCACTTTTGTAAATTAGTATGACTATGTCTGCTGTATTGTGGCCTCTGTTGCAACTGTAGTTTTTACCAACCTCCGTTGTCACCTAGGTGCCTTATCACTCATAATAAAGGTAGGCATATCTAAGTAAAATACTAAAGAACTTTCCACAATTATTTGGTTCAAATGGGATATTTTAAATAAGAATTTTAATTTGTAATATGCAAAACTGGCTATAACAAGGCACCCTGTCATCATAACCAATTTGTGCATGGCCAATTCTCAGAAATTAAGTGATCATGTTGGAACCGACAGGCTATCATCTAAACAGAGCCAAGTGTGAAATTTTGATCAATCCCTGATTCCCAGAAAAGTGTAATTATCAATTTTTAAGAAAAATATGTTTTTAGAACTTTCAGGAAAACTTGGATATAAAATAGACTTATTGAACTATTTCAATAATAACAATAATGGTAATGATAATAGCTAACACTTACATAGCACTTACTATGAGCCAGTAATGTTCTATGCCTTTTATAGATTTAATGTCTTTAAATTTTGCAGCCACCCTCTGAGGTAAGTACTATTATTAACTCTTTTTATTCATGAGGAAACTGAAGCAAAGAGAGGTAAGTAACCACCTGAAGAACACACAGCTAATACGACAGAATTGGAAATGAAACCAAACAGGTCTGGCTCCAGAGCGTAAGTAAACCAGAAAAGGGAAATGTGTTTATAAATTTATGATAGCCAAAGTTCTGTTATTATGATGTAAAATGTTTTTCAGTTTTGTATTTTGTGTATCTTTGAATAGCAGATCCATGGATTTCTCTCTTTTTCCTAGAAAATTAAGGGGATTAAGTAGTGATTTTCCTTATTTATTCTAAATATTAATCTCTGCAGCTGTCATGGGACATACCCCTGCTTATAGTATTCCACTCTGCACTGTGGTTTACAAGAAGGGGAAATTGTGCTTTGCCAGGTTGACATTTCATTCATTAAAATTAGGGTCAAATGCAATAACCTAATCTGTTTTGTTATTTTAAAGGTGCAATTCCTACAAAAAATGCAAAACATGACTCTTAACAAAACATGTCCTTAAATTGAATTTAAAAATTATGTTTTGATTACTTACATGAAAATTAGTCAGAAACCCATGATATGTGTGGTTTTAATGATGCGGAGAAAAAAGTGGTCTAAAAATGGCAAGCAAAAATACACTGAATTTTAATTAGTCTAAAATGGTCAAGTTTCCTATTCACTCACTCAGACATGATAAACTTTCCAAGATCTATTTTGGAGCATGGCAACTCTTTTCCACGTGTTCTGAATGGTCTCATTTCCCTATATGAAGACCACGTTGGCACTCTGTGTACTTGTGCAACGGGAGGGATCTATTCTGACACCCAAAGGAAACTCTGTGTGTGCTTCCGTCCTCAGGCTACTCAGTCTTGCATAAGTGATTTTTATTTATCATTGCTGACATTTTTAAATGTATTTACCATATCTGAGGTTATTTTCTTTTCTAAGATTAATTTTAGCTCTTTTATTTACTGTTTTCAAATTTTTCATACATTCTGTTGTGTAACATGTTCTAATTTAAAGCTTTTTGCCCTTGACCACTACAGCTCAGTTTAAGAATAATGAAAGAAAGAATATTGATCTAGAACCTAACTGCTTACGTTAGATTATCCAAATTCCCCATGAACTAGAAAACTGTTAGGACATTCTTTTTGAGGAGCCACGATTATAGTAATATAGGCTGATTTTGTCCCTCCATTTTATTCCATTACCGTCCAGACTTTGCCCCACAAAGAAAGCGTTGGGTCCTAGACGTAATCACAGTGATGACGAGTGGGCAGTAGGTATGGAAGATAAATGCACTCAGGGTGACTCCCTGAGTTTTCTAGGACACCTGAGAACATAAACTTAGGCAGGAGAGAAAGAGTTTATCTGGTCTTAACGTTATTCATACCCAAGCTGGAGATTTTTTTTTTATTGTAATATCTTCATTGTTTTTTCTTTCCTCTTCACGATACTTCTAAGCAGAGGTCTAGAGTGGATATTGCTCAGTTTTTAAATGATAACCATGCATGTATTTTGCTTTTAAGATTTCATTATCAGGCTTCTGACATATGCCAAGCGATGTACAAACAGTATTATCTCATTTAAGTTCTACAACCCTGAAAGCTAGGTATTTTTATCTCCATTTTACAGATGTGAAGACTGAAAATCAAAGAAGCTAAACAAGTTAAGAAGAAGAAATAAGAATAAAATATTATAATTATTATTAACAATAACATGTTAATAATAAATTAATTTTAAAACTGACATTTATTGAGGCAGCTGGCTATGAAGGTTCTTGGATGAATTATCCCATTTAATTTTCATAATAATCATAGGAATTGTTATTATACCCATTTTACCTCCAGGGAATGTTGAGGCTTAGAGACACAAAGAAAGCTCATATAACTAGAAGCAGAGGCAGAATTTAAACCTAAACAGCCTCACCACAGAGCACACGGTCTGAATCACGTTACTGTGCTCCTGCTAAAGGTAGAGCACACATTCTCACCTGGATCTATTTGCTGCTCAGCTTCTGATTTTTCAGGATCTCACATGACTTTTAACCTAAAACAGTGGATCTCAAATGTGGTCTGATGATCCATGCTGATCCATAACAGGGTTTCACTACCCAGCAGCAAAATAAAAAAGTCAAAGACCGTGCATGTCAAGAGCTTCTCTTATCACGAAATGTGTTCAGTTTAAAGGATCTCACTTTTTTCTGAGATTATAGTCTTCCTTTTCTGGAACAAAAATATCCCTTCTTTTTATCTAATGGTGGTGATAGTCAATATAAGGGTTTTTTAAACATTTTTTATGAAAAAATTATAAATTTCTTATCCCTATGCCCCCTGCCTCACACTGGGGACAACAGGGGAAGAATTGTGTTCATTTAGAACATTTGAAAATCAAGACTCCTTTGAAAAAGCAAAAGAATCCTTTAGGGAATGAAAGGTTGTCCCCAAAGCAAATTCTCCAAGTCTGTCCAAGATTTAGCCTTATGCTAGCGAGTGTCACTTTATGGTTTTTAAAGAATTTTCAAGGAAGCAGGTTCCACTTGAAAGAAAATGATGTCATTAGTGCATAAATATATTTTTACAGAATAGCACTCTCTATACAAAACACCTAAGCTTGGGCTGAATAACAACACAAAGCCTGTGAAGTGCTTTCACAGTGAGTCCCTCATTTGGCCTGCACACAACACTCCTGTGAGGGTGACACGGTGCCACTGTAACAGAAAGGGTGTTGTCCTCAGCATACAACAGGATATGTACTTCTTAGTATTATTTGGCCTCTCTTAGCCTCACTTTCCATTAAGGAAGGAATTATTTCTGTATTAAAGGATTATTTCATGGATTTTAAATAATGTAGGAAAAGTGTGCTGAGCAGGGTACAAGGCATACAGCAGGCGATAACTGGTATCTGTTATTATACTTATTATGATCCTCATTTTACAGATTAGAAAACTGCAACTCAGATTAAAGCGTGAGCTAAAGTAGCTCATCTAGTTAAGGGATGAAGTTGGAGCTTCAGCCCAATTCTGTCTGCATCCCAAAACTTCCTCTGATTATCCCTCACCCACAATCCTATGTGAATCCCAAACATTCTTTTCACTATCCCATGCCACAATTCTGGTAATTGTAAGAAGCTAAAAAATCCCATTGATTCAAGTGGACTCCATCATTCTATAGATGTGTGTCTTTGATGTCCTTGTACATATGGGCATAAACTTCTCAGTAGGAAAATCAGATGAAATTTAAAATGATTTATTGTACTTATCAAGCCAATAAAAATTACATTTAAACAAATACAAGCAGGAATGGAAATTGTAAAGATTGCCAGACGATATGAAAAGTAGGATCTTGCGGCGCTTACGGGAGGTAGTAGCTGAACGTCACCAGTTGAAGGGGAAGATAAAATTTGAAGGTGGGCTGATAATTTTTATATCTATAAAACCCTCAATGTGTGACAGGTGCATACCAGCAGATAGATTTTCCTAAATTGTAGATACTGATAGTCAGTGTGTTTGTTTGTTTATGTTTATTTTTAAATTATGTGGAGAGAGACTTCATCTCCCTGGGTTAGAGCATGACTTCACTTCAATGGAAGATTAGGAAAAGTAGATACCTTGCTGGTTCCTTAGTTAAAAGCTTTATTTTTGAAATAATCCTAAAAAATAAAAAGTTTCTGTCTTTTTAAAGAGAAAGCAGAAGTATGCCATAGTTCAGTCCTCAGAAGGAGCAAATGAGGAAGGAAAACCAATTCCTTTTGCTTTCTTTCAGAGGAGTTTATTTTGCTCTTAATGTAACAGACTCTTTAGAGTTCAATCTCATGTTTGGAGCTCATCAGAGATCTGAATCTTAAATAGCTGTTTGTAACATACTCAGAAACAAGTATACTGAATATACACTGTGTCGTGAGAATGAGCATCTTGAACTTAAAGGAGTTAACAGTTATTAATTAAGTTTCATATCTTCCTGTGATTTAGGGTGCACATATGCAGCAGAGAGGTTGTCACATGGTGTGTCAGCCGCCAGGGGAGGGAAGATAATGAGGCTGGATGTCCAAAGGGAAGGTGAATTATGCAAGAGACAGGGGTACTAGTGAGAAGTATGAGGGAGCAAGTGGGAGATAATATTTGAGAATCCCGTTTGCTGTATCAATTGATGAAACTGGCTTGAAAATAATTATATTCAAAGACCAAAATATTTCTTCAAAGATTACGTTTGCTTCATTAAAAGTTATGAGTAGAAATATTCAAAATGGTTTTTAAAGAACTGGAATCTCTTGCCAACAACTTACCATTCCTGCTAAAAGTGAGAAGAGGAGAGATTCACAGTTTTATCTTTGGGGCCGTAGATTTGCTTCAGATAATGGAAATATTTTGGATGAAATAATAGACTTGACTTATAACATAAATAAATCATTTTTCTAAGCCACAGAAGGGCAAAGGACATGGTATATAACCTGCAAGAGAGTGGAAGGCATTTTTTAATAGTCAAGTTATAGAAAACCAAATCAGCCCCTGTTTTGCTGGATAGCAATCCCTGGGAACCGATTTGTTCTGTCTTAGGGGGAGTGGGGAAAGGGTAGAAAAATTTTGGCTTATCAGTGTCCAGTTAAGCAGATCTGTTCTTTGGACAGTCTGGTTTGTGTGTATGATTCTTGGTTAAGAAAGAGGTCTTGCTGAAACTTGCCTCACTTGCCTACCAATTTTTAAAGTTACAATTTGCTGCCAGTCTTACCATATTTTCTCAAATAACTTCCCTTTTATCCTCATGACATAGAAGTAGATGACAGGGACAAGGATTTTACTACTCCCGCCTCATCCCGACACGCCCCTCTCCTTACTACACTAAAGTAGTGGTTCTCAAACTTCAGTCTTCAGCAGAGTCACCTGGAGGGCTTGTCAAAGCACAGGTTGCTGGCCTTAGCCCCAGAGTTTCTGATTCAGTCTAAGATGAAGCCCAAGAGTTTTCATTCCTAGCAAGTTCCCGGTGATGTCAATGCTGTTGGTCAAGCTATAGCATTCTCAGATACCTCCGAGGGAACACTTTTAATGTACTCTCCTCCCCATCCTTTTGACAGTTCAAGGGTTTTTATTTTGACTACTCTCTTCCCACTACTATGTAGCAGCCCCAGCATTTCCCTGGCCAATCAGAATGTCTGCAAAGCACCAATAAAGATGTGATTATATTTTGAATGACACATTCCAGATCTTTGCTTTGTCACTGCCCACGTTTCTGATATTTTCTTTCCTTCCAATATTTCCAGTGCTTTCTTTCCAATTTCCAAATTCAGATCAGAAATAGCTGGGTGAATAGAAAAAAAGGGATTTTTTTCCTTCTTATTTTTCTTTATTCTGATTAAATGTTGATTAATATAACAGCCATCTTTTTTAAAAGACCATCAAGAAAAACAAGATATGTACCCCCATAATATGCTGAAATAAAAAAAAAAAGAAAAGAAAAACAAGATATATGAAACCTGTCTTTTCCCTCTCAACATCTCTACTGAGTCTTTGAGAGATACAGGGGAAAAAAATGAAGTTCTGTTAACTTCAAATAGCATTTTTCTGGCACACTAATGGTGAAAGTCCAGGAAATAACATTTTTTCCCCTAAAACAAATGGCAGAGTAAATAATGTCCTTTGAAATGGTACAAATAAATAAACACCGCCACATTATGGCATACAAAGAAATAAAGATCCTGCCAATATGATTACTTTGAACACTATTAATGCTACTACTGGCAGAATAATTAAACGGAAGGCAAGAATTGCTTTATTTCTTTCTAAAAATAACATGTAGAGCAGTAGTTACAAGGGTGTTTGTATTTTTGTTTTATGTTATTTTTCTATAGTTGTGAACAATTTTAAAGATAAAAAATTTTAAGGAATTGCAAAAATATGTAGGTATAAAATAGACCATGAGCTGTAAGTTTGTTTATTCAAATCACATATACTGAATGCCTAGTCTGAGCTAAGTATTGTTTTAGGCAATTTGGATACAAACAAGGCTCCACTTCCCTAGAAGTGTTCTAAAGCAGAAGATGGGTGATAAGCAAATAAATAAATATAAGCAAAAGATTAAAAGGGTTAAGGTCTTGCTTTATCAAGAGTCAAAGCATACTGTGAAGCTGAAATAGCTAAAATACTGTGGTACTGACATAGAAAAGGATCAACAGATTAATGGAACAGAATAAGGAGTCTAGATGTACATTGGAATTTGGTGTATGATAACATTGCCATTTTAAACCAGTGGCAAAATGACAGAAAATTTAAAACAGGTATCTACCTTCTACTCAGAAACAAATACTGATATGCAAGAAGGAATATAAGAGAATATATTTGTTATAATCTAGGTATTATAATACAAAGCATAGCACAACCCCCCAAAAAAGACTTGACTCTCTCTAAATGTAAAATTTATGTGTAGTGATAATTTCTGAAAATAAAAACATAAGTTAAGTAATAGCACAAAGAAAGTATTCACAACATATAGAAGAAATAATATTTCTTGATACATAGTCTGTACCAAGCACCATTGTACAAATTTACAATGATTGTATTGTAAATATTTTTAAGACTCAAGAAAAAACTACCAATTTCTGCGTTAGCTTAAATAAGGCATTCCACTATGTATATATCAAAACATCAAGTTGTGCACCATAAATAGGTACAATTTTTATTTGTCAATTTTTAAAAATTTGTAAAAGAAAAACTACCAGGTATGTACTCTTATTATCCTCATTTTATACATAAGCAGTCTGACTATTGGAGACTTTGGGTAAAGAGCCGAAGTCGTCTAGCACAAAAAGAGGCAAAACTGGGATTTAAACTCAGATCTCCCTGACTCCAGAGTTTAAGTTACTAAACACCGAAGTACAAAGAGTTCCTATAAATTCAAAAGAAAAAGGAAAAAGTTATAAGCCAGAAGGTCATGGAAGATGAACCAAATGGCCAAGGTCACTATGATAAGGCATTCAGCCTCACTAAGAATCAGGGAGAAGCAGGAAATTTAGTATTACTTGTGGAAATTACAAATCTCATCTGCTTTCGCCCAGCATTTCTACTTCTTATCTACCCTACAGCAATGTGAGTTTTTCTGTACATATCTTTAGGTGCATCTAGAATGGTCCTTGCAGTATCATTTGTAATACTTCCAAGATGGACACTGCCTAAACGCCAATCAATAGGGAAATAGTTAAACGTATTATGGCATATCGATATTGCGTCACACTGTACAGTCATTGAAAAAGAAGGCAGATCTATATGGAACACGGAAAAAATATTCATTGTATACTGAGAAAAACAGTTTCAGGACAATATATCTAGATAGATAAATAGATCCTGTTCTATAAAATTGTACATTCTATACATGTCTCTGTGCACAGAAAAATATCTAGGATGATAAACCTCAGATTGTTAACTGTTTCTACCTCTGAGGAGGTACAGTGGAGAAGTGGGGTGGGTATGAAAGAGAACTTTAACTTATATAAAATAAGTTATAAAATGAAATTAAAGTTCTCTCCAGTTTAGATTTCATAATTTAAAATATAAGTTTTAAAGACAATAAAATATAATGGAAAATATTTTTAAACTATTTTAAATTAAAAAGTAAAGGACATATAAAGGGCATTCAAACTCAAACAGCATAGACCATTTCTCCTTGAATAGGATCTCTGAATGCAAGGAAAATATTTCCCATTTATATCTGACTCAAGAGTATCGATGCCCTTGAGTGCCAAGCTTTGCTTTCATACTGATCAGGCTGCTGATAATAAGATACATACAAATTCCATTTCTGTTTTCATCCTCCATCCCTTCTCTGTTGTTTTAAAGCAAATGCTCACCCCGGAGAGACAAATTCAAGTATCCCCAAGTATCTTGGTGACTTAAGAATAACTTAATGAATTCAGAAAGAATCCCATGCCCACATTCATCTTTAAACTCTTTGCAGGATGCCATATTTAGTAAGTCATGCAGTGTGAAATATCATCATTTGCCATGTGGATTACCTCTGTATTATAGATGAATTTTACTCTTTTCACAATTGTTGAAAAAGACCTTAGTGGACTTGGAATGTTTTCATTAAAATAGAAACTAAGCAGAAAAACTTATTCATTCATAAATATGATAAACCTCTTCTGCTCACTCATCAGCCCAAGTCTAGTTTCCTTGCTATCAAGTTCTTGTTTCTCAAGACCTATTTTTAAAGACATAATTTCAGATTATATGTTACCTTGATGCTTCTACCTGTTTTAATAAACCTATGATAGGCTCAGTGCCATGCTTAATCTATGCCACTTTGATATAGTTCCTGGCCTATACCGACAAACTATTTACCTGATTTGGAATTCAGTGTCTCCCCTTTGATAAATATTTGGGAGGATAAATCCTTGGGAAACAACTTGAAGGCAGACATAATTCAAAATGGTTATTTTTATTCTGCTCCATAAATGACTTTTTGAAGTGTAAACCACTTTTAAATTTATTTAGGGCTGACAGCCCTAGTCCTATCCTGGCTATTCCAAATGACCCCAGGAGCCTGTTATTTCTCCCCCACAGCCAGTTTGAGGGTAATGAGTCAGTCTTTCTCTGGGTCACCCACAGTCCGTCAGGGCCCCGAGTTAACTGTACCTGTGCTATTTGGAAGCACAGAGATGATGGGGCATTGCTGGAGCCTAATCAAATCCAAATCCCCTTCCAACTGTCAAGCCCCCAACCTCTTTCTATTCATCCGAGGGGTTCTCCAGCGCCATACCGAGTACTGACACGGAGTGACAATTCTGCTTCACATCCTCTGTCATCTGGCTGGAACCTGCCTGTGCAGAAGTTCCCGTCAGCCCTCAAGCCTGGTGGAGATGGGGACTGGCAGTTCCCCGTAACTAGCACCACCAGGTTCCTCAGTGTCGTCGTTAAGTACAGGGACTCTGGAGTCAGCGGTTCTAAGGTCTAGCGCAGGCCTTTGCTGGTAACTGGCAAAACGGCCGGAGCCAAGCAATTTAAGCTTCCCGTGCCTCAGTATTCTCATACATTCAATAGGGATATTAGTTCCTGCCTCTCAGAGTTATTGTGCCAATAAAGATTGAATGAGTAAGGCTCTCAGCACAGTCACCAGCAGAAAATTAGTGCTCAAATATTTGTGATATTATATACTTTATAAAATGACATGTACACATGTACATATAGTATAAAATATATATGGCCTGGCAATTGGAACATATGCCATCTCTGCCTGCAGAATTCTGCATTTGTCCTATATACGCTTCACTTAAACTAGAAATAAGCCTACTAATCGGTCTTAAACTTTTTGCTCTTCCCAATAGATACTTGCTAAACTCTGTATTCCCA